AACGGACACCCCCTTCCGCCATGTTTGTTAGACGAACAAGGAATTCTCTCCTCGGACAAACAACAAAAAAGAGGTCAAAACAACGACTTACTGCAATGAGGAAGTGTCCCGAACGTGACCAACGAATGTGAATGAAGGTAGAGTCCGAAATTCGGCAACAGCCCGGGAAAGACAAAAGGGAGTGCGGGTAAACGGAGGTAAATCTGAACAGCCGCCCTCGATAACAGGAAATCTTGAGGACAGAGGGGCAAGTTGCAAGCACATGTATTTCTGCGGGCTCTGATTGGTCAATTTTGGAAAAGTTTGAGCGTGGCCCATGCAATCCAAACGAGGCGTCCCCGCGTGATCCAAACAAGGAAATCACCGTGCACTGGTCAGCGTAAACCTAGTGGGCGAGGTCGGCTTATCGCGTCCGGCCTAAATTTCTATTTTTGTATTTTGTCATACATTGTACCATGTGCAATAAAGTTCTTCTTCTTCATTAAAAGTAACCTCACGTAGTCTTCTGGTTTCCAAGAAGAAGGCAATGAGAAGTATCTGGGAATAAAGGCATCCGCCTTTTCAATGTTTTTGCCAACAGGCAATCGGATTAATCAATTTCACACGAATTATTACAGATAATAACTTATTTTCCTCCTCTAGGAACCATGTGTTTTTAAGGTTACGGGATACCTTTAGTACTAACATCTTTGATCTTAAAAAAAATATTTGACAATCAAGAAAATTTCCAATATCTTCTAGAAATTTAAGATTTCAATTTTCTCTAAACCAAAGCTTTCTGGAAATTCTCCAAACCGAATATTCTGGGAAGACACCGATAAACCAATATCCTCCCACGGGAAGACTTGGCATTGAAATATACCGTTTATTAGATACTACTGAGTTGGTGATACTTCACTAGGCGGGCTATGAAGGATTTATATATTGGAAGGGAGACAGTCCTGTCATATCCTCCCACAGGAAACACTGGTATTGAAATGAAGCGTTTATTAAATACAACTGGACAGGTGGTACATTACTGGGCTGGCCTTGTGGGCCTTTTGTATTTTGAAACGACATTTTACTATATTGGTAGGTTGAACTTATTAACGTACCGAAATTGGAAGGGTGGGTCTATGCGCTATTACCATAGGATAGGAGAACATTTTATATATAAAAGACCAATGACACGTTTTTAAACCTTATAAAGCCCAAGATTTATATAACTCTCCATACTGTCATGTTCTTTAGGCAATAAGACCTACACTATGAATTATGAGCTAGGACTTTCATTTGCACACTGGCTCCTGTAATTGTGGATTGACGACGTCCTCGACTGATGGTTTCAAGGGTATAAAAGACTATTACGTCTGAACTAGAGCTGTGATCAGCGGTACGAGGACAACTGGCGACTCTTGACTATCGACTGACTCCCTCTGACTTAATTACTTTGCTTCCGTTATCTAAATTAGTTTAGATACTCCTAAACTAGATGACATAAGGTTGGTGTGTGTTTCGTTTCATTCGGAGAATCATTTTACAGGAGGGCGACTGCTGGGGTCGACCGATGAGCGACCATGCAAACATTTTCTGTCATTGAGATAATTGACAGGCTTAGAGATGTTTCAAAGGACAAATAGGCTAAATTCGGTGTTCTGGTGCCTTTTAACGCTAAATCCTATTTGCGAAAGGTGATTCATTGGTTTCTACCAGTCTGCACACATGAGGGTGATATTTGACCCAAATCCATGTTCATGTTAACGTTTGATGCCTGCCTAGCTATTCTACCAGGAGGATGCTGTGATGTAGTGTTTCTCCTGGTGGAATATTATAATAGGCAGGCATCAAACGTGAACGTGGATTTGGGTGAGATA